GCTATCCCGGTGCTCTTGGTCGGTTATCATAAACCTTTCTGTCGCCTATAAAAATCACTTACTACGGCTATGTCTTTCCAAATAGGGCTTTCGCACGAGTAGCTTCTCAGACAATAGAAGTGTGGAAACAATCACACGTCTCTCTACAGTACCATCACCTTTGCGGACAGGGCCAACGTTAGCTCCTTCGATGGCTCCTTCTCTTTCTCGCTCCTTTGCTCGATTAAGATCAGAGTGCGACTGAACTAGACAAATAAGATGGATGAAACAGATGGGACACAAGCCCCGAGGATGAACACAGACAGGTAACATCAAACAGAACGCCAACACTTATCTGACCCAGTGAGCATTTTGCTGTTAGGACCAATTGACGACGCGTTCATGCGTCACGCACGTTTTTGGTAAAACCTCTGATTCCCTACCGGTCAACTCAGGGGTGCTCTAGGGAGCAATTCTGTCCCACCTCTCTCTTCTTTTTCTATATTCGTGACCTTCCCACTAACCGAACTGATCTTCTCATTACGTTTGCTGAGGGTATTATCATAGGTTCCGAATTCCAAGGTGAGTTCCAGTTCTCACATCTTCAAACCAGTGTATCTACCTTAAACGTGTGGTCTTTCTCTTCCAAGTTATTTCTCAATGCCTCGAAATTTAGAGATGTCAACTTTTTGCTCGCCAAAGGAGAACGGCTACATTCTTTTGAAAGGAATTATTTTATACTCTATTTTAACAACTAGCCTGTTCCCCCAGTAAATCTTCTACAACAACTCGGTGTCACTATCTCCCAAGATCTCACCCGGACTTCACATTTAAATTCTACTTTTTCAAAGGTTCGAACATTGTGGTTCTTTATTTCCAGCTTGCGTTCTTTGAAAATTTCTTTCTATTTACACACCCGATTTGTATATTCTTGAGTTGTTACTCATCTTCTCTACTGCGCCCTAGTTTGATTTGCCGGTCTGAGCGCTAAAGATTACACAATTCTATGCAGGTCTAATAAAATTATTTTTCAGGCATACGGTATTCCTTATTTGCATTTGCTTAACTTTACCCACCGATAAACATTTTGCCTCTTGCAATAACTTCTGCAACAATATTCGATCAGACACTACTCACCCATTACACAAAGAACTTAAAAAATGGATATCCACTTCTGTAACTAGATCTCGTTCTAAACTGGTGTAAATCTACCTATCGTTTGTCTGTCATCCCTTATCTTTCGAGAATTCTGGCTCGAAAGGCAACCGTTAGAGAAAAATTTTAAATTTCCCACACAACTGATATTCCTTTTCAAACTTTTACTCCACACCCCTTTGAATTTACGATTCTGCTTTTTTCACTTTCGTTTGTGATTTCATGCAACGATAAATGTTCCTGAATGCAAGAAGCTGAGAATCCATCCATTAGGATGAATAAAGCGATTTTTGACTTGATTTGACTTGATTGATTCCAACACAGTTATGGAAAGCCACAAACGGATCGACTGTGATCTAGTGCAAAAAGAGCTGACCGTGATAGTTGACCTATCAAAGATGCAGTCGCAGGGGACTGTAGATGTAATAGCATGTCAACCTTATTCACTAAGATCAGTTGATTGTTTGTGTGTGGAGGGAACAGACCAGTTGAGGAACAATGAGCAAATATTGGTCATATTGAGCCACGTAATTGGGTAAACCCAATCCGAAAGAACCCATTCAATGAAATTGAGCTATCTCCTGAGCATTGCTATTCCGGCATTGGTCAGCTTCTGGTTCAAATCACTTTGTCCACTCGCGAACTAAATAGCAGGGGCCTTGTTGTGTTCGGACTAGACGTACGAATGACACGAGCAGCTCTTGCTTGACCCCCAAAGACAACGCGGAGGGAGAACACAGGTGGAGACAACAGTTTGTGTATATTCCTTGATTAGATATCGATACGCAAAACATATAGAACTATTCGTGCATACGAGAACGGCGCAGTGACGCACGAATCAGATTGTATCCTTGATATATGGATTGATCGATTGAACAAACATTGGCTGACACATTCTGTGATCATCCAATCAGGTTCAGCCTGTTTGGAGCGTTACGAGCGTGCGTGTGGCCTGATTCGGAGGCGTGCGGAATCGGACGGGTTGCTTAAGCTCCGTCCTTACAGGCCTGGGGTTCAGAAAACCAGTAATCATTTTTTGTTTCTAAATTCACCCACATGACGCAGTCCCCAGTTCGAGCGGTCGTAGTAATTGTGGTGCGCACTGATCATGGATCGGAAAACACAGAAGTCACGTTTACGGTACGGGCACGGCACCATTCCACGCAA